CTCACTTCACAAGGAACGTGCGACCTATTGCTCGTGACGTGTGCCACGTCTTACTTCAGCACGGCTCTCCGTTTCTTCCGTGCTCAGCCCGTCAGCCGATAAACGTGCCTCCCTCTCCCTGTTCTCCACAGCTGGGTATCCCGTGTTACGGCTTTTCACCGATGAACCACACGCCGATACTGCTACACGATCACAACGAGCGGCTCAACGAAGAGGTGTTTCTGCGCGGCATCCAGCTCTACGTGGAGCTGATACAGAGCATGACGGCAGTCACCGCCTAGCAGATGCCCCAGACGAGGGTGGCGCGGTCGCTGGACGGGTGAGAGGAGGGTGGGAATCGGGCGAAAGGGCCGGGAATCTTGCGGGAGTGCAGGGAATCTTGCGTGAGAGCCATTAATATTATGATGAGGGTGTTATTGCCAGAGACTTGGGGGAAAATTGCGTTCATGGCAATGAGTGTTTCCTGTTGGTATGTTGAAAGTCCAGGTATTGAATGAATCTTAGCAGGGTGTAGATGATCTTGTAGTTCGGAAACCTGTTACTGTCATGATCGTCATTTTATCAAGGGCCAGTGAATCTAGGTGAATCTAGTTACTGAAAATGTGATGCTCAATGCTCATAAGGACATTGGTTCAGGCAGTTATTGGTATTAGTACTTTTGGTGGCATGTCATCTTTTTCACCTTGTCAGTGATTGGGATAGGATAAGTCATGTAGGTTCATTTATAATAATGCAACTTTTGTCGCCATTAGATCACGCATTCAGGGAAATATATAAATATAGCAATAACGAACTTCTTGACTGGTCGTGGCCGCAATACCTTACAACCGGTTATGGCTATCATTTCCTCTTGGTAACAGCCGCGCTCAGCACAGGCACTAGGCTGCCGACGGTGTACCAATGTCGTGTCCCAAGCTACCATAAAAACCGCGTGTTGAGCTCGGGGTGACCATTTTCGGAGGTATTTGTTACGAGTACACCGAAAATAACTGAGGTTAGAGCATGCCAACAAGCGATTTTTTTAGTCTAGGTTCTAGGGCTGGGCCTCGTTGAAATGTGTCAAACACTACGGTACAAAATAGCTTCCACGGCAATGTTCTATTCGTATTGTTGTGCGTGTTAAAGCCCAGGCTGTGTGATTCGCTGGATAACTGCAGTGTGACCTATATTCATGGCGAAATTGTGATCTGTGACACGTATTGCCTTTTTAAAGTCTTCGATGACTTGTTGTCCTGTTTAAGAATCAGGGAAGTCCATTTGATAACCCAGTGGTATTGTGCAATCCCGAGAAACTGATCCCCGGGTCACGTAACCTTAATTGCTGGTTTTCGGCTGGCAACGCCGATTTCAATGCCGGCGTCTTGACAATAGTGGCTGGATTGGCATACAATAACTTGTCGGCTGTGCTTGTGAAGCACAACTCGATTCAAATATACCGATTTTATGCCAGCAAAATGGTGTTTCGACTGCGTTGAATCGTCATTTTTATTATAATCGTAGGTCGATTCCAGATCGTAGGTATTTGTCGGTTGCCTGTCATAGTATCATGCATACAAGAGCTTTGATGTGTAATCTAACGTGCACAGCATGTTACGTCATACAACAAGGATTATACAGCGCTGGTCCGTCCGTCTACTCAGGTTTCCGTTACTAGGCGGAGCCCCACCTCGCCGTGGTATCTAGGAACCGACCGACTGCACGCCCGAAACATAAGCCGGGTCGCGGGGTCCGTGGAAAGCTGTCAGTCAATAACGGGGAGTGCGGAATACAATCAGCTTCGACACTTTCACTTACACGACATTTGGGCATAAGTTACAGTCTTGCGCATCTTGTGCCATTTTGGTATGTCACGTGATCCACTGTCCTTCCTTTGCTCACCGTCACGTGAGTTCACGCTTCCAGGAGCTGCGGCGGGGCTCCAGCGGGGTGGACCCGGGGCCGCGGTCCAAAGCCGCTCGGCTCCTGGCCGGCTGCCGTCCGCGCGGCCTCATAACGGGACGGTTATGAGGCCCCGCGCGGCCGCGTGGCGAGCCCTACCCAACCCGGCCCCCAGACGGAGGGGGGGGGGGACGGGCCCGGGGAGGGGATGATCGGAGGGCGGGGCACACGATGAGCCTTCTCGTCATCGTGGAGGGATCGATAGAAGGAATGAAGGATGGAGGAATGGAGACGCCATCACAATTCAAATTCACGAGTCGCAGCGGAGATCAGTGCGTTTAGAATGGAATCGTGGTATTGATTGGATTTTCGTGTGTACTTTGGCGAGCCCCGCTGCATTACCCAGACTGTCCTCTCGGCCTCGACAGTCGACACCCCGTCTCCCCCTCCCCTCGTCTCTGGCTGTGACATAACCCCCTCCCCTGCCCCCCTGTCGACATTCCTGGCCAGGCACGCCTCCAGGGTGGCCGATGACGTTTGGCCGGCGCCTGTGTATTATCGGATAGCTGACGGGTGGTCGCTCACGCAACTGGGAGCGCCGCCAACTCACGCAGGGCCGGTACAGAGTACAGATCGTACTCGCGCTGGGTCCATTCTACACGCCGGACAAACGAGGATAACAGCTGATACCAGCCCGGTCAGAGTGCATCCACAGACGGGTTGAGACTAAGGAGAAACCGACCCAGTTTGTGCTTAGGGCCCCTAGAAAGGTATCACATTTGAGTGACTCCTTTTGGCCCAGGGTGAACTTGTTCGCGGTTGGCTCCTCCTGACATTGGCGGTTGCAATGCAAACGTCAGTGAGCGTACAGGGTACCACGTGATCGCCTGGGGAGGGGTGCAGTGGGCTATACTCGGCACAAGCACGTGCTTTCGACCAGGAATAGCCAGGGGCGAACCCACGGCGGTGGGCGGGTCGCCGCTCGTGTTGCCATTGAGCGGGCTCCCACCGTCCCAGTGTAGTGGTAGCCACTGTACCGATCAACATAAGGAAAAATTGGGAAGCTGATCGCGTCTTTCCAAGCTGAAGCTCACATAGCTAATGTTCCGTTTCATGACAGAGCTGCCGCCGCCCGCCTGATACCTAATTGAATGCATTTTTGTGGGCCCTTGGCCCTTCCTTGCCAACAACTGCATTTCCACCCTAGCGTTATCAAATCGTTTTACTCGGTGTGTTTCATGATGCGCTTGCATGTGTTAGCACCGAATCAATACATCGCTCCGGTGTCCGGACGGTGGACCCCCTTCTAGGCCCCCTCCGTTCCATCCCCAGCTCGAAAACTGATTTTTGGTACGATATCGCGCCTGGCACAGACTTTTGGGTACGCTCGTACGGTAGTTGGTACGCTTTACGACCTGCGCCGGAGCTGGCAACACGGAGTGGAAATCTACGTGGGGGACGGGCCGATCGCTAGGGAGGGGAACTTTGGCAATTACTTTTCATCGCTAAATTCTGTGCAATATTGTTGTTTGTCTAGTCACCAGTGTCATATACTCCTGTACACTTCAAATTGTATATAATTTCCGTGAGTGCGTTCAAAATGAGCTTGTGCACCGGAGCCAGTTGCTAAGGGGCATTCTGAAGACCGATATCGAACCGAGTGGATTATGGCAGTTTTCCTGGTAAATGTTTGTAAATTCAATGGTTGCGGGCTTACGTATCCATCGCTGGGTGATTTGATACAACACATCGAGGAAACGCACATAGGTAAGTCCTAAAAAAGCTCCTCGATATTCGAGGGGGGCGTATGCGCCATTATTGCCTCGATATCGAATCTCGTGCTGCAACGCCCACTTTCGATTTAATTCAGTTGATACAAAAATATGAAGCAAGTTTTATAAATGAACATCAATTTTTAATTAAAACGTGCCTCTTGCTGAATTTTCAAGCAGCAAGGATCCAAATAATTTGCTTGAAGTGGGAAGTGCAACCCAATTATTCCTTCCCGACCTTACCGCAAGGCTCATAAGTCATAATAGTTTGGAATAATATCCCATTTCAAGTTATTTGGATTGAACACAATTTTTTATGTTTGCATTTTCTGCAACGTGGATTTGACAAAACAATTTCAAAAGAACTTTGATTTCTTCAGAAAATCTGATGCATAGGTGGCAAATAACCTGAACCTATTGATTTAAACTGAAGCTGCTTATAAGTGCTGGCTTTTTCCTATATAATTGATCATTTCATCCATATTCCTAGTTATTCAGTCGGTGACACTACAGGGAAATAAGCTAAAATTAGAGCGCTCTATTTATTGCTCCCGCTACTTCACCGTCTCCCATAGGGTCCTGTGTTGAGCTGGTGTCGAGGCTCTAAAAATGAGATTTTTGCACCCTTCTCACGAAAACCGCTCGGACCGCCTGGAAACTAATTGTTCCGCTCTAAAAATTTCATGATCGACGGGAAAATGAACGAGGAAAAGATTGGTCCTGAAATAATTCTGAACTCCCTGTAGAACATATCGAAATATGGCTGCAAACTAGGAGCATGTCAAAATCGACAAAACAATACAAATAAATTTCCCGGGATTTTTTTATTTTCCATGCATCTGTGTATGAAATCAGTCGGTTTTTCGGAAAGATCGTCTTCTGTTTAATAAATAATTCCATAATTGCAATCGAGAATAAAAAACATTTCTGCTGTGACAGCAGTTTTGGCATTGTGCCAGTAGTGTGGCGTGCGCGGTGCTGCGTGGTCGTCGGGACGGAGTTGTGAGTATTTTCGGTGTTTTAAATGGTTGATGGCCATTTGAACCAGCTTTATATTATTTCCTACCAATTTTTGCATCAAATTATTGCTTTGAAAGACCATTGAAACCCCTCATCTCTTCATGAAATACGATCATATTAATCGTCGACGAAAATGGCGCGTGACTCCATGTGGGTTTCGATCGAAATAAATCGTAAATTAAATAATATTCGATGATAAGTATCATATTCTAGTGACACGTTTTCATAAAATAAGGCATAAACTTTGCAAGGAAGTCAACACTGGATAATTGGATTCTTATTTTGCTCACATATCCTTGTGGTAGTCAAATGGCTCAATTGTTAGATAAATGTAAATATATGTTTTGGCTTGATGTTTGCTGTGAAACCACCCAGCCACTTGCTGGTTGAGTGGTTTTCTGATAATTACCTGATAATCATTTCTCCTTTTCCTTAAAAGAAACTAAAATTATTTTCAAAGTAACCCATTTTTAGGAAAGGCGGCCTGCTCATTGACATTTCATGTTCTTGTTTTGTTATTGCTGGCAGTATTTTGATACAATAATGCAATATGATTTTTTTTGTGTAATAATAAGACCTAAGACAAACTTAGTTAATGCGTCAATCAAACACCCAACAGAAAGATTGTGAGTCCTTGTGACGTGAAGTAGAAAATTCTATGAATGTGTTTTATAGAATATGCCAAATTTTAAATTATTTTATTATTTGACACTGATAGCTGAGCATGTGAATTATGCCACAATATAATTTCATTTTCTGGTATTGAAATAGCCGGCAGTATTTTACTTCAACAATTGTAATATATATGGAATACATGTTGTTATGTTATGTTAAAAGTTTAATAACAGCCAACAGAAGGGGCTGTTTCAGCAGATAATGTTTGTACCTTATGCATTACCTTTCTTTTCTGCAGGACCATGCTTCCGCTGGGTGGTTGACATTTGCCTCCTGAAGAAGTTGAGCAACATGAAGACCACCAGATGAGGTGTCTGCAGTTCATGTGGAACTCTGCAGACTACAAGTGTTATGCCAACCACAACCAAAGTGCTGTGATCATGGAGGCATGAATCTCATAATAACACTTCAGATTTGCAGTTGTATCAAAGTGTGATTCAAACCACCTGTGGCATCTCACTCAATGCGTGAACAGTGCGATCATTGTGCAGTGTTCAGCTGCAACTAAGACATATTTTATTAGTGACTTGTTTTGCAATTAGCCACCAAAAGCATTTTTTTTTTTTTTTTGGGCTGGCCGCTGTAATATGTTGTGCACTGCGCAATATTGGTAGTGTTTTGTCACTTGTCAAGTTGTCAGTTGTGCATGTTGCCTGTTTCTCTGCCCTCAGCCCTCATATCAGTTAAGTGGTGAATCGGCATCACTCAGTCTCCCCAGATCTCCATTGACTGTCTGTCAACCACCTAACTTGAGATGGTATTTGCTAATAGTGTCAGAAAGGAAGTGATTGTAGACATTTTTAGGAATATGAGCTCCGTTTCATGCGTGTTCCAGTGGTCATTTTGTCACATGTCCCATAGTGTAATAAATGGAAACTGTTGTTCCCTTTTGAAGGTAGGTACTCGCGGATGCGGAAAGCGTTGGGCTTAATTATTAAACGCACCCTCTTATCAGCGACGCACGAAATCGACAAATATCATCCTTTTTAGAACAGGAGGAAACGAATACTTGTGAACGTAGCTGTACCTACAACAGTGCATAAGGAATTGAAATTCTGGGAGTTTTTGAAATTCGGAGAAACTCAAGTTGTCGACAGGTATGCCCCCTTGTACGTCAAAGACCGCTTAAAAAACAAACGTCTACAAATGAAGGCAGTATTCGTATGTTCGTTGTAATTGCAGCAGCCTAGCAACATGCATTGCGGCCCGATGGCGAATTAAACTCGTGCTCAAAAACTATGCCGGTAACTGCCAATGCACTTAGGTCATAGGTGAGGAGAGGAAGGGTTATGTCAAATGTCAACATCATAGAAATGGCTTCATCTATTGAGCTGTGCCTATTGTACATAATTCAACCAATCTATGCATTTCGTTTCTTGCAATCTACTCATGCTTTCACTCCAGCTTCAGAGTAATCATCCCATATTGTACGTCTTAAGATACTGATTTCTATGGCGGTTTGCAATTGCTAGCCACGTCTTACCTCAGTTTGGTGGCCCCGCATCGGCCCGCTCGGCCGCTCTAAAATTGACTTACGGAGGAGGATGGTGGCTTTTATTTTAGCTTCTCCGCTGACTGCGGGGAGCGCCGTCGCCGAGGTAGAAGCAATAATTAGCTTATGTTTGGGGCTAATTTCCACGCTTAATTAATATTTTAATGTTATTTCAATTAATTCATTTTAATCTTTGACGCATTCTCTTTCTATTGATACCATCCACCGGTCTGAGAATTACTGCCTTGCTGCGTAAGGGCCGATAAAAGATCACGTTTTTAGGGGTATCTCTTCAACATGGGGCAGGAGCAATAAATAGAGCACTCTTATTTTAGCTTATTTCCCTGGTATGTCACCAACTGTATTATAGTTTAACATCTACAGACCATGCATTTTCTAAATAGGTAGGTGAAGGTTTATCAGATATTGTATGTACCTATGTGTGGATGTATGTATATATTGGATGTATGTACATATTAATGTATTTTTATATTATGTATGCATTGACATCACAAGCCTTCCACATGCAGTGTGGGGATAAGAGCTATTGGCATTGAAAATGGTGCACCTTTTGCTAGAGGCTTTCATTTTTACAAAATAGTTTGTAGTTATGATAGGTCTGCCAGGGGAATGAATTCCTTCTGTCTGGAACACCCCCTATATTTTTATGATGAGCATAGGAGAAGCAGCAGGCCCAGTCTGGTGCTTCTCAGAATGTGTTTCTCCTGTGTGACAGGACAGGAAATGCAAACTGTAAGAGGTTTGTGTTGTCCATTTGCTATAGCACTTAGCATTTAATTGCATTTTGTGTTATGGAGCTGAGTAATAAGATAGCTTCTAATAAATGATAGGTATTTGTTTTTATATGCAAGGGGCCATTGCATGTTGTTATTTCTGTTCAGTGTTACATGATTCACAGTACACACACAAAACCTCAATGTGCATTATATCATCATGCACAATTATACACATACCAATCCAAAGAGAGCATTTTCCTGTACTATGTGTTATTTCCTGAGTGGTCCCAATTTTAAGCTTTTAAGCAGGATCATGCTCTGTTGTTAGCCCTTCAAAAAAAAAAAAAACTGGACAGTGATCAGCACTGTCTGTCTCCTCTAGTAGTTCAGCGAGAGTGTCTCTTGAGCCATCAGGTGCCACGGTGAGAGTTCAGATCAAGCCACTGAGGGGCTCGTTATTTGCTCCTGACAGGTATAGTCTGCAGTCAGTTGCAGTGGTCGCAGTACAGGACAGATGAAATGTGTGAACAGGATGGCCTGTGTCCGACTATGTGGACTCGATAAACACTCGACTCTAAACTCCATGTCAGCAATTTCCCGATCGGGCGGTAGAGGTCAGGACGTATGCAATAGCTCTGTTTAACTTGGGCCTTGGCAATGAAGATCCTCTCGTACAAGTATATAGATCAAATTTGTCTAAAAAACATATTCCTAATCCCTACGGCTGTGAATGTGACATGAATTTCCTCAACATCACTGTCTGGCGGAACCGGTCAAAGAGGAGCCGAGGTAACCCCGTCGCTCTCGACTAGTACTTATTTGACTCGATCAGCCAGGAACTCGGGTGACACTGACAGACTCACGAAACCAGGTGACACTAACAGCCTCACGTAACCCTTCTTGACTCCGTCAAAGGTTCGATCCGGGAAACTCATTCAGGCGGTGGCTAAAGTAACCCCGCCACTCTCCCTATTCCCGCAGACTATGACCCGTTCAGCGAGGAGCAGCAGGAGCGGCAGCAGCCGTCGTGCATCCCTCTCAGCTCCGCGCTCCGGTTCTACACCAACCTCCCGTCGAGGAAGCCGGCCGCCGCCGCCGCTGCCAAGACGGCTCCTGCGGCCGGTGCCGGCTCTCACGGGCCAAACCACGGACAGCAGACGGGCGGTGGTGGAACGGCCGGGTCCGCCGGCCTGCCCACCCTCGGCCGAGCGAGCTCCACTGGCAGCGCGTCACCCTCCGGTCAGTGGCGCTGGCGCCGTCCTCCGGCCGATGTGTGCGTGTGTGCGTGCTGTGTGCGTGTTGTGTTCGTGTTGAAAAAAGTCTGATAGAACTTTGATCACGCTAGTTAGAGGCTGGCGGGTAAATTTGATGTCATATGCAATATTTTAACGACATATTAGTGAATATGCGAATAGGAAGCGGCCAAGTATTTGCGCCATGTTCGACGCATGATCATGTGTTTGGGTATCAACGATAGTAATTTCACTCATTCAGCTATGACAAGGGGAGTATCTTGGTAGTATCAGTTGGAATTATCTACAAGCACTCGTCTCAATGAGTGGCATGCAGCTGCAGCTATCGGATGCCGTTTGGGCTCCGTCCCGGGGACGATGACTGCCGGTTCTGCCGCTAGCTGATAGCCGCCCGCCCCTCCCCCTCCCCTCCTGTCGGAAAGGACACCTGCTCCCCCCGCCCATCCGACTCGGGTTACGTGGCTGTCTGGCCGGGATGACCTTCGACGGACATGGGGACGCGTGCTGTGGGCTTCTGCGATCTATCGACTGCTCCTCATTGGAACCATCGCCGCTTTTCACGAGCTATAACGCCGTAGCTGGGGTCCGTCCCGATTGTTATTGGTTTGTCCGAGCGCCGGCGTATGGGATTCCCTCTCAACCTAGCCCGAATGTTTGCCGGTGGAGTTAAACAGCCCACCTGAGATCACCCACTGCAGAGCTGCCAACAGAGCTAATGTCAGCAGAATAGGAGGTGATGGGTCATACAGTACAGTGGGAGTTAAAGCGTTTACGTGCAGAGGGGCATTTGGCTCGAGTGGGTGCCAGGAGTATTTTCAGGGGAAGTCACCGGGATCGTTTGGAGGTTTTAGAGTTCAACCCTGGGTCATGTGGTGCTTAACTTTAGACGGTTGTATCCTTGGTAAAATGTTAATAGCGATACTGTAAGGAGGGCTTTCCGTGTTATGAGCGGAAAACTTACAGCGTCATTTCTTACGTCCTCAAATTCCTCTTGCAAGGTGTATCTTAGCCTATCGTATGATTATAAGTATGTGTAATTTGTAATATTTTGTAATTTCAATGTAAATTGGATTACAATTTACCATTTCTAGTATATGGATAGTTCTGGCTCCCGTATTGCTATTTTTACGAATACGGATAACCTACGCATGCTATTTTTACGCATACCTGAATACAGCAAATGCATGACCCTCTTGTAGGCTTAGTTCGATCGTGTGGTACCGTCTAACATTCCCCTGTCCCGTCATGTCTTCCACAGTGGCGAGCGAGGAGCCAGAGTACGACATTATGACAGACTCGGAGGATAGCAACGACTCTTGGACCACTCAGGAAGAATTCTCGGCCGAGTTCATCATGCGATACGGCTCAAAGTGAGTGGATAAACCACGAACGGGCAGTGCTGTCGCCATTCAGTCGACAGCGGGGAGATCGGGGAGCTTTTTGTGATGTTGGTCGTCGGGCATTTAGCAAGGTAATCGGTAAATATTTTCAGATGCACAAAGTCACTTTTCTGTTGTTGTATGTTTCTCTTTCTTTTATTTCATCTGAGTTGTGGATTAGGTAATCTGGCATACTAATGCTAATCTAGTTTTGTCAATCGCGGCTCTTGCCTTCTTTGAAGAGAATTAAATTTGCATGATCTACATGTTCGTATAGGGGCATTCCACGTCAAGTGAGACAAAAAATGACCATTTTGAACCTCACCTCCTCCGATTTTTGCGAAACTTTGTGAAACTACTCATCTATATGTGAAAAGAAAGGAGACATGTTTTTGTCAAGATATGACGTCACGTTTCCGAGATACACGTCATCAAACATTGACTTAGGCAAGGCACATTATCATCTTTAAAGCGTCATAACCATTGAAGTTTTAGACATATCACCATGAGACAAAGTGTGAAATGGAGGGAATAGATCAGGCTTTAATTTGAGGATAACAATATTGACATAATTAGCTAATTAATGAACTAAATTAAAATTAAAAAAAATAAATTTTGATTTTCTGAAAAATGGGTACCCTTCGATTTTGCTGATTTTTACATATTTCATCCTCCCATACATTAGCTACATCATATAAAAAATCCAGAATGGGCCGACGTCTACGTAACTGCCTTTTGGACTTCGGAATGTCTGGCACTCGCGAGTTTCGTTTTAGCAACCAAGGAGAGGCGCTACCCGGAGATGCTTCTTTCTGCCCCAAACCAAAGCAAACCTAGCCTGACCTGACGTGACCTGACCTAATCTAACATGCGTAAATATGTACAGCCCTCACGGCAGTTGCCGACTGGCCAAATGCTACTTAGATACGAACATTAGCCCTCACGACATTTGCCGGCTGGCCAGATGCTACTTAAAAAACGAATGCGTGTTTAAACACTTGAGGCTAACCGGCCACGAGCCAGCCACCTTTAGATTACGAGGTGGGTACACTCGGCACACTAACTACTAAGCCACGGAGATAGCTGGTCATCGCGGAGATGTAAGCCAGTTTTTTTAATGATGCAATTGGGCATTCTTCGGGCAGCGCCTCTCTTTGGTTGCAAAAAGGAAATACGCCTGACTCTCCCAGCGCTAGGGGAGGAAGGCCCGGTTTAGCCAAAAAAGGTATAAAAAACGGAATTTGAATTGTAGGTGGGGCTGTGGGGAACTTTATCGTGTGCCAATTTCATGGCCCTAGATCAATATCTTCAAGATCAAATGAGGTTAATCGTGATGAAATTTGCTATGGTGACTATTTTGCGTTTATACGCCCATAGCTCTAAGAGTTACTGGCCGATTTTCCTATTTCTTCCTTTTTACGACATTTGTAGTGTTATGAGAATCTTTAGATAATCTAACCATAAATTTGGCAGTTAGTGGCCTGCTAAGAGTAAGATGTCGCCGGCAAAGGCGCGGGGATCGGCCGACACGGGAAACGTTTCAGTCACAGATTGTGTTTGCACCCTAATAATTCAATTTTTACCAGTTGGTTTTCGTATTTATTTGACCATTAGTTTGCCTGTACATTTTTAAGCCTTCACACAAAATTTGACACGAATCGATCATAATCAGCGGTAAGAAGCGCAGTGCAAAGATGGAACCGTCCGGCGCCGGCACAGTCTACCATTCAGGCGGCAACGGCCGACGCCGGCCGCCGCGCCGCTCCGGCAAGATGTTTGACTTTACACCGCTATTACTAGAAAAGTTGTGGACCGATTTACCTATTGCTTGCACAGGAGGATTTGCAATTCAATTCTGGACAGATGCTGAAAGTTTGACGTTAATATAATAGTTATGGCGTGAGTTATTGGCGAAAAACAGGTGGGGTTGGCGAAATCCGCCCCTTCCATCGCCCGTGCTACGTTGCACTACTTGTTGCTATATCATCCAAAGTTATCGTTGGCCCACTCTAATTTTCTCAGCACGTATGCCTTATGTGTGGTGGAAGATAATGTCCAAATTTGAGCAAAATCGAAGGGTACCCATTTTTCACAAATTAGATTTAAAGAAATTAATTCAAAATAAAATAAATTCAAAATCACCAAAAAATGTTAAAATTACCAAATTTAACTAGCATAACTCCTCGTGTTCACGTTTCCGTTTGTTTGAAATTAATAGCTTCAAAAATGTTGAAGCTATAGATCTTTCAAGATTGCAATACACGTCCAATTCTGCTAAAAAAGCAGAAGTTTAGCGGCTTGTATCTCTGTAGCCCGAGGGCATATGACAAAATCCTTTAACCCTCAGAGGTTTCACCCAATAGCCAACAAGTATACCAAGTTTGAACAAAATCGCAGAGGTGGCTGATTTTGGCTGTCCCGGTTGACATGGAATGCCCCTATACCCTTCTAGCACTGTATAATTCGAATTGATTTTTTTCCAGGATGACAAATCCCAATGCAAATGAAGAGAAGCCATACTCTTGCCCAGTACCTGGTTGTAAAAAGCGTTACAAGAACGTTAATGGTATCAAGTACCATGCCAAGAATGGTCACAAGAAGGATGCAAAGTAGGTATCTCGTTCATGAGAGACTGATGCTCGCTCTGTGCGACTTATAGGCGGTTACTTTGATAATGATTTTCATTTGATAATCCTTTTTTGTCTTGTCTCAGGCTTTAGTCAAGATAAGGAAAGTTCACAAGGTAAAAGATTGTTATGATTTTAGCAGATCGTGTTTTTCCGTTTCTACGATTTTTTATTATCATTGAATGATATTGTACTGAAAGACCATGTCATTGATGTAAATCGCTCGATTTAACACGGAAACATCGGTTGTATTGACCTTATGCCACCCACCCGATGCCTCTTCTTTTGTATTCCGCCAGGTGCATAGTGTAAATGATTGTCAGATCGAGGGTAAATTCGCGAAATTTGGACACATTTTACAAAGTACAGTAGCATTTTAGCTAGAGCCAAAACCTTGTTTTGCTGGGTTATGCAACACTTTCTAAAAATGGAAATCATGCCTTCAATAAGAAGGCCTACTCGTAAATGCAATAACAAAGGAAATGTAAAGGGTATAAATGTCTCTGTAATTGTGGCTGGCTAGCTGAGCTCATGGTTAACCATTAATTTCAGTGGGGCATTGCTGCTGTGAAAATCCCATTAGAGTTTAATGAAGCTCACCAACCGCGCATTTGCATACAGCAGCGGAACTGCTTTGAATATACAGCTGCAGATTTAGCAGTGTGCCTGACACATCCGCCGTCTGTCTCTCAGAATACGGAAGGCGTTCAAGTGCCACTGCGGGAAGAGCTACAAGACGGGCCAGGGCCTGAAGAACCACGCGGTGATAAACCACGCTGGCACTCCGCTGACTACAATCACCACTTCGATGGGAGAGGTGCTACAGATTCCCACCAGCCAGGTGAGAATGCCGGGAGGGATACGGGGAGGGGGAGAGGGGGCGGAAACGGATCTTTGCAGGGTGATGCGGGAGGTGGCTTTGGCTAAAAAGGGGCAGAGCACGTGCCCCACTAGCTATTTCAACACCCCGCCTTGAGCTGTGTTGTTGAAGCATAAGCCCTCTTGCCTGGCTACGAGGTTTTAGATAATAATATTTTATACCTTGCTTCATTTCGTCGATGGCATGTTCATTACATGGTGGACATGCATAATCCAACGATTTGTGTACCGCGCGACTTGCCAGAAGGGAGGCCATTTCACGTGCCATAAGCTCAACATCGCAAGAGCTGCTACCACTAACAGATTTCTTAGTGTATGGTAACAGTATTGGGAAAAAAATATCCACTTACTGTGATGCTCAGTTACTGATTGTTGTCTTCCAGTGGAGCCTCTACCGTCCTCTCGGACCCTGCCTGTGTCCTCTTCCTCCAATCGTTCCCGATAGTGTTCCTGCCGGATTCCAACTACTCCGAGACTGCCTGAATCCTGCGTCCGTCTTATCCAGTCTGCCATGGATGTCAAGGTGGGACATCTGCTGTATTTAATCATATGTGCGTACTCATTGTGAGGTTTCCTTCTTACAAAATAAGAGTGAAATTTTGTTTTTTGATTTGTGACATGATAACTGGGTCGCTACGGTTTTGATTGAGACTAGATAAATTGTATTGATTTTATATTAGATGCACTTTAATTGAAAACTGGGACAGTGGCACCTCATTCACGTCAATCAGAACTTAACCCTCGCCCTGGCAGGGCATTTTTCATAACACGGCCTGGCAGGGGGGGTCGATGCGACCCCCCCTCGCGATTGGCTCCTATGGCACCTAGAAACACCAAATTTGGTAGGTAGGTGGGCTCCCCGGAGTTCTCGCCCCTGTGCAAATTTGGTTGCTCTGGGTCAATATTTAGGGGGGTTTTGGGGGGTATAAATGTAAAAATTTCGCTAAAAACAGGTCAAAAGTTTTTCGCTTATAACTTTTGATATAATTAAGATAGAGCAAAAAGAAAAGCACCAGTGAACTCAGCACGTCAAGGCGCGTCGAATGATATACTTTTTAGCTTGCTTAAGTGTACTTCAAGTTTTTCTTAGATTTTAAGTAAACTTAAATTAATAAATTAAGTTCAAGTTAACCAAATTGCATCATATCGCATATCATTTGATTCGGCTGAACACCAGGAACACAATGATACCATTTTTTAAGCTCTAGCGTCATTATGTGCCAAGTTATTGGCAAAAACGTCATTTGACCTCAGTTGACCTCATTTGACCTGAACCATGGATAAGTACACCAAACAAAGAAGCACCAAGTGACCTGCTGTTAAGTACCGTGGGTTCAAAGCACAAAAGTGATAAAACGAAACGGATATCTTCAGTATTTTCCGAATTTAGTATTTTCCCATAGGCTTAACATTACGACGTAATGACCTCTAACTGACCTCAGGTCAGTGATCTAAAAAAAAACCGGACTATATGTTATACAACTCGGTGAATTTAACACATCCTGAAAGTTTGAAGGAAATCAGTCGAAAACTGTGAGTTGGACAGGTGCAAAAAGAAAATTGAAATTTGACCATGACCTTGTACCGGTTTTTCTGACCTGTGACCTGACCCAAGGTCACCCGGACCTGAAATTTTCAGGTCATATGTAAAAAGGTTGCCCCATAGGCTGTGCCAAATTTGGCGGCGCTGCGCGCCGCCGTTTTTACGCTATCTTCGAAAAACTTTAGGGGGGGTCGCATCGACCCCCCCCCCCCTGCCAGGGCGAGGGTTAAGCCAGAGTAGCTTGCCAACATTACTTGAGAACAGTGTGTATTCGTCGTAACTCGTAAAAAAGAGATACATTTACCAATGACCACGCCTTACCCTTGCCTGTCTCCGTTCTCCTCCCTCCCTCACCCCTGGCGGCTGCGGCGCTAACTCCCACCTCTTACCTGTCCGCCAGGTGACGACACTGCAGCCAGTGCGGGTCAGCCTCTCGGCCCTGATGGGCGGCCACGCGATGCCCGTGAAGACGGTGGCGGCGCGACACCTTCTCACCACTTCGTTCAAGGACACACTGCGGCGCACGGTGGAGTCAGCTGTCAGGGATGACGAGCGCGGACAGTCGATCACGCTGACCGGCGTATCACGGGCAAACACCATACAGGTAAGCATTGTATTCTCCGACAGACTTCTCCCGGGCAAATGCCATACAGGTGTGCTACGTTCGCGGCTTGAGGTGGGTCAACATCGGTTATGTCGTTGGGTTAACGTCAACTATGTTCTTGGGTTAACGTCGGCTTTGTCCTTGGGTTGACGCGAAGTTGGGTTAGCGTCGGCTGTGGCCAAGGGCTAACGCAATGCTCGTAGGTTGTGTTGGGGGACGGAGGTGCTCCGACTGGACCGAGATGGTGCAGAGGAGGGGGAACACTTGGTGTACTGAAGTAATAAGATAATGCTTTGCAGTTCTTCAGTGATAAATTTTGCACGGATAGAGCTATTTCTCTTTTTTGTGGACGTAGAAATGACTGCTGGAGACCAGCTGCTCACCTCTGGCTTTGGTCATTTGCTCACTTGAGTCTTCCTGTCTGACCAGTGCCTGAGTGACCAATGACCAGCACCGCACGTTTGCCATCCCCGACTGACCATCCCTCCCCTCCCCCAGGTGGCCGTGCCGGCGTCGGGCATCATCCCTCTGAGCGGGGACAAGGAGCTGACGGCAGTGCCTGTCTCGCGTCTGCTGGCGCAGGGACTGGGCGGCAGCATAAAGCTGGCACAGCTCGGCACGGCCGCCGGTCACCTGCGCACCACGGCTGCCGACGCCACGCCCGCCACCACCGCCACTGCAGTCGTAAAGGTAGAGCAGGTGAGAGCGCCAGCGCGACTGACGGCGACTGGCGCGGTGTGTGCGTGTGCTTGTGGGGAAATGTGTGTGTGTTTTGGTTGTGTGCGTATGTGGGTGTGTGTGTTTTGTGAGCTGTCTTGCACGTCAGGGGTCGCCGATGACCACTGTAGTCCGGGCGCCCAAAAACCCCTTGCACGTCAGGGGATTTGTGGTTGTTTTAGGTGTGATCGGGAAGACTCGTGAATGCTGTAAACTGTAATAGTCGATTAATTCATGCTTGCGAAAAAGAGAGTTTGACTGACAACCTACCATTTAAGTTTCAGTTTTTTTGCTTGTCCAAAGGTTCCTTGTTGTTCCGTTTTGGTATTGAGTCTTTCTTGTAGATGACGTGTTGCTCAATAACTAGCATGTATATTAGCTCAACTAACGATCCGTGGAATGCTTACATTGTTTGGGGGAGTGTTTTTCCGGTTTTTCCTACCCCTTGCGGCTAAACTATGACGTTTTCGAGCATGCTTTATGGGTTACGTACTAACCAGTAGAAGTGCTTCAAGAGCACATAAAACTGTTAACGAGTTTTCTCAGGTCTCGTTCCTTTCGAAATAAAAAGCGAAACCCAAGATGCCTCAATATATTGACTTTGACACCATTTTCTTCCATCTGTTACCATAGCTTTCAGTATTGGTTCGATATAACTATATAACTACGTTTTTAAGCATCATTATAGTCATGAACTTTTAAAACCTTATCAGACTCATGCGACCTTGTCCTCATAAATAATGTAGGCGTCTCCTGACAAAATATAGCAGACTAGCTGTAACTGAGGATTCCGTGGCTGATTCTCCGTCGTTCTGCGACACCCACTGGCCCCTCTCATCGACTTCTCCTCTGACCGCCCCGCTCCCCTGTCTGTCCCTCTCAGACGGTGGTGAGGAAGACGTCCAGCTGGGACTCTGTCTCAGTCAGCGCCGCGCCCACGGCCGTCTCCGTGTCGTGCGGCGGCGGCGACGTGACGCGGCCGGTGACGCCGCCCGGTCAGCAGTTGCGCGCCGCGCTGCCGCCCACGCCGCTGACGCCCGGCTGGCAGGGCCCGCCGTTCCCGGACAGCGTCATCGAGGACGAGCTGCCGCCCACGCCGGCCTCGCTGCTGGACGGCGGCGCCGAGCCACTGGCCGGCCCGGCGTGAGCCCGGTGAGAGCGGCCCGCCCGGCCGGCGGCCAGCATCCACATTAGTCCAATAGTGCGTGTCCCGGCGGGTGGACGGGCCCGGCCGGATAGGGACGGCGGCTGCTGGCTGCAGGACTGCGGCTGCGGCACTGCTGCGGCGGCTGCTATGGCTCAGCTGCTGCGGTACTGCTGCGGCGGCTGCTGCGGCGGCTGCTGTGGTACTGCTGCGGTACTGCTGCGGTACTGCTGCGGCTACTGTGGCTGCTGCTATGGCACTGCTGTGGCTGCGGCTGCGGCGGCTGCTGTGGTTACTGCTGCGGCGGCTGCTGCTAAGGCGACTGCTGTGGCTTGCCCGCAGTGTCCTCCGGCCGACCGCCCGACCGCCCGCCTGTCTGTTTGTCCGTGTATGTGAGCGTGTGTGTCGTGCGCGCCTGACAGTGTGTGTCGTCTCGGCGTATCGATGAAGATATTAGCGGCCCTCGGGCTGACGCCGCGCCCGCGTCGTGTCACCGTGCTGCTCTAATGTAAACTCACGATCCGGCCCGCAGCCGCCGCCGCCGCGGCCGGGCCCGGCGGCACTGCTGCCGTTCAGGGAGTCGCCGCCGCCGCGGCCGCAATAAGTTCCCGCCGCCCCGTGCGGTCGGGCGTCGTGTCATGCGTGTTCTAAAGTACGCTTATCGGTGGTGCCAGGTGCTGATGCGGGCCGGCCGGCGGCCGCTGGGGGGCGGCCGGCGCGCCGCTGGCCCCTGTTGGCTGGCCAGCCCACTATCGTTGTCAATGATTCATCCTGACAGGGTTGCCAGTGAACATTTTATAGATCATCCTTTCATAGTGTCAGTAGTATGTATTTGGTGCGCGTGTGAAACTGTGTACAATGTGGCGAATAAAGCAGCAGCCCCTCGGGGCCAGAGGAATACGTTTTTAACGACCAGTGCCCGTGCGTGTGAGGTCGCGGTCAACCAAGCTCCTGCGACCGGTGAGGGCCGTCCTGCTCCATGCAGTTCGACGGTACTCCCCGGCCTGTCGACGTGAGCACTCCCGAACGAACGTATGCCTCCGTAGACAGTCCGCCGGCGCTCGGTCGCCGCCCTAATCTAACTACATCGGCCGGTTAGTGCGTGAGTTTGGCGGGCGGAGGCCGGATGGGCGACGACTGGCGAGCGGCGCTCGTCGGCTGCCGCTCATGACTCCCGGGACGCCTGTCCTGCTCCGGCACTGTCGGAGTGACTCGACGGGACGGGCGGAAACACTCGCCGACGCAGTTCCGACCTCCATTCGAGAACTCGTTAAAGACCACCTCTTCCTCAACTTTGGTATGTGGCTGCCTGAGGAGATCGACTCCAAAGTGGTAACCGTCCCGGAGGATATGATAATATGAAGTGCTCTTTATTATAAGATGTCTTTTTCATTCAGATGAATTCTGAATGTGGCACGAAAATCGCCATAAAAACCGACGGCGGTCAGCTTATAAGACTGCATCTGAGAACGCAGCCTGCATGGCAGTGCCATATTCCATGAAACATTAACCGTGTATTCTATAACTGCATATCCGTCCGTCTATACCTATATTCTGTTTATCTATCCATTTGTATACCTATCCGTCTGTCATCTGTCCGTCTGTATAACCGTTCGTCTGTATATCCGTTCGTCCGCCTGAGTGTCCGTCTGTCTGTGTATCCCTTCGGAGTCCTCATTTGCATCTGCGTATCTGTCAGCATGTATCCGTCTGTGTCTGTGTTTTTGTGTGTCCGCTTATACCCTGATGTGTCTGTGTGCGCCCGCCGGCGCGCCCGCCTATCAGTGTGGTCTGTCACCGGTGCGGCGCCCGCGGCACTCATTACGGAGCACTGCCGGCGGTATCACAACACAGCCCGTCGGCGGATAGACGGACGGTGGTCACACCACACGGCTCACCTGATCCTCGTTTGGACTCGAGCACTGGACCTTCGGTGAGAGCTGAGAAGGAAAATGGAGATGGGAGTGCCTGGGACCAAGCCGGCTTGTGTATAAGACGCGTCCCTTATTGGAAAATAAGCGGGGCTGAGCGTTCAGCATCGCATAAACAAGAGTTTTATTAGGTAGGTGTAGGCACGTTTCCGGTTTTGTAGGGTTTGCTTGCTGTAATCCTACTGAATCGACGAAGAATTTCGTGGAATGCATTTAATTCAGGAATTCTCATAGCGGAACTGAATTTGTTAAATTTTCCTGGGGTGTAATGAAAGTGATGCAATGCAGACCGCAACAAATTAAAAATCTAATTAAATTAGATTCTAATATGACAGCTCAATGTTAGTCACTAAGGGCTATTTCTCCACGGTTTCGAATAATCTAGCAATGTTGAGACAATTGGACACATGCTGGAACTCGGGGAGTTGATGTGCTAATCATTTTTCGCTCCTGTCAATAGGTTATAGCCGCGTTTACATTGGGTTAATTGCAAGCCAATAGCTCAGTTGGAAATGTTGCAAAACGTGCCAACAGCGCTTTGCAATTACAAAACGATCTCATTCAACGACATGAGCAGCATTGCATCGAAATTATCGCTGAATCAATGAGCTAGAGCCTCGTCAAAACACTATGTAACCAGCCCATAACAATGCCTCACGAAGTTGATATGGGGCATGGGCACTCGGTGCCGGCTCCAGCTTCAGGCGCACCGGCACAGCCTAACTATCCAGGCGCCTACTTGTGCCGCCATCTATTGAGAGTAAGAAGTGCTAGCAAAAGCCATGCGGTACAGCCTACCTTCAGGCGCACCGGCACAGCCTACCGATCCAGGCGCATACTTGTTCCGCCATCTATTGAGAGTAATAAGTACTAGCCTGAGCCATGTGGTACAGCCTAACTTCAGGCGCACCGGCACAGCCTACCGATCCAGGCGCATACTTGTTCCGCCATCTATTGAGAGTAAGAAGTACTAGCCTGAACCATGCGGTACAGCATAACTTCAGGCGCACCGGCACAGCCTGCCGATCCAGGCGTATACTTGTGCCGCCATCTATGGAGAGGGAGAAGTACTAGCCTGAGCCATGCGGTACAGCCTAACTTCAGGCGCACCGGCACAGCCTACCGATCCAGTCGCATACTTGTGCCGCCATCTACTGAGAGGGAGAAGTACTAGCTAGTTTGGGCTATGCGGTACTTACATACAGCTTAGCTTCAGGCGCCTTCGCTAAAGCCGTCTGGGGACGGATCTAGAATTACTGTTTGATTTGCCCAAGGCTTACCTAGTACAGACTACCGGCAGTGCAGCGCGCGGCTCGTCCGCCACGTTTTCTCTAGTAATTAGACGTTAGCGAATGCCAGTATAGGCACCCGTCTGAATAACCATATAGCTTTGGATGTAATGTCGGCGCCATACTCATGACAGATTAGTTCACAACTTGGCAGCTTCATATGATTTGTTTTTAAGGTCGTGCTTTGAAAGAAATAGTTCGGTAGGTACTCTCTCTTCATTCTCAGCACTTTTTCGATTTCAATGCATTTTATATCCCATTCAAACATCCGACCAAATTCGATTTCACGCCAATCTTCCGGCTCTCACCTCATCTCCCTTCCACTGAAACTGATTTGATCCCAGTCTCTCTCTCTCTCTCTCTCTCTCTCTCTCTCTCTCTCTCTCTCTCTCTCTCTCTCTCTCTCTCTCTCTCTCTCTCTCTCTCTCTCTCTCTCTCTCTCTCTCTCTCTCTCTCTCTCGCTCTCTCTCTTTCTCTCTCTCTCTCTCTCTCTCTCTCTCTCTCTCTCTCTCTCTCTCTCTCTCTCTCTCTCTCTCTCTCTTCCTTGCAGCCCAGGTTCCGGGGGACATAACGTGACGAAACCGCACGGCCTGATGTTTGGGGGAGGGGAGGGGTGGGGGTGGTTACGGTAATAACTGATGAGCCAGCCGGCCACGCGTTGTTGACCACGGATAGCGCACTGACAGCACAGGCGTGTACCGACAGACGGGAACCTGTCAGACTATGATAGTCGGAAACACCGACAGCGGGACAGCCCTCCGTGTCGGCGGCTATCGCAGGCCAACCGGAAGCGGAAAGCGACGAATAACAGTGCATTCTATCGCACGGTGGAGTAAAGCCCTGCCGCATAAAGTCAACCATCGGTGCTAGAACAGCATCTAAACTATCCATGTTATTTCATCTACTCTATTATCAGTGGGGCACCATGACTGTTTTCGCTCAGTGCTCACTGCTTAGTGCTCAATTAAATGAGACTCTTCTCAAAGAAAAAGTTGTTTTGGGGTGGAGACTTCCACTGGCGTCCAACTGACGTCTAGCTGAGCAGACGTCCAAGTTAACGTCTAACTTGGCGTCTAACTGTTGGACGGAGACTTCCAAGCTAGACGCGTCTAAAGTTAGCTGTCGGCAGATGACGCAGCCGCCGTCCAGCTAGACGCGTCTAAAGACACGAAATAGAAGTCTCAACCCTTGCTGTCGTGGCGTGACATATTTGCAATGATGTCATTACTAACAATGGCGATATTTTACCTACGTAAGCAATTAATTTGATTAAACAGAAAATAGGCAGTAATTCGTCATAATTAGGTAGACGAGCTATTCTGCACCCATCGAATTTACATTTCATTATTACTGTCATAGATCTGAATTTGGGATTCATGTTATCTTTATTTCTGTCTATAGTTTTGCTCAATCGTTTCCTTGCCTACTTCTGGACATAAGTATTCACAATCGTTCCGAATTATTTTCAACAGTTCACTTCAATTGCCGTATTTTGTACCTTGTGTGCTAACTTCCCAGATTAGAAAGTTGGACGCTTGGGAGTTACTGTCTGTTTTCAAAGCAGCCATCCATCGCAACTTATTTGAGAGGTACGAGAAAGAAATGGTCTGAAAACAGCTGTGGAGCTCCACTATCAATCGGGAAATTCGGCGCCCTTATTGAATCCCAACCCGTCACTAGAGAAGCAGATTGATATCGTGACATCCTGACAATTCGACAGTAGCCCGGGTCGTACATTTCTGTCAGTCCATCAGTGAATGTAAAACAGGTGCTTTTTGGAAAGAAAAGAGATCGTGAAGTCAGATGTTTGGCTTGAACATCATTGCTCGTTGAAACAAAGATGGACTGTGGACTGTGATTGATAAATCGCTTGCTTTTTATCTGCTTGCCCGATGATTGGTTTGGATTGTTATTTTTTCTGCTTGTTTGTTGGGATTGCTCGTTGGGACAGGGATGAGCATTGAAGAATGGGGATGAGCTAGTCTTTTCGATGGATATAAATGGATGAGAATACCTATCTTTAGCATCTTTCGGTGGTTTTGAATGCTTGTACTAGTATTACCGTCTGTCTAAGCAAGTTTGTGAATTACAGGTAAGTCCAAAAGTTAGGAGGACGCCATTCCGAGCAAACATTATCACGTCAGCTAACCAATTGGCAATGCCCTCAACGTGTTGATAACTGGCTATGATTCTCAAAAATATAAATATAGATAGAGCATGCTCATTGCTCACCGTTTCATCATACCTTCCGACTCCCATGATGATCATTACGCCTCGGAAGTACACTCGATTTCCTAGCCCCAACACTTCTCCGATGTCTCATTATAACTTCTGAGTTGGACAAGTGACACCATCATTTCCTAGTTTATAAATAAACTACCTGGTATCTCTGCTGGTCATGAGCTCTGTTGTCGAGCGATGAATCATAGTCAGTTGGCCAATCGATCGGTGAGCTATAACTTATATACCTACCGTCCTATAGGACGGTAGGTATAGGTATAGGTATAGGTAGGTAGGTATAGGTATATATACAGCTTTACACGAGATTTCACCAACTTGTCGTCACCATTCACTGCCACTGCAATCTACCTAAATCTGTTTGACCGTGTGTTAAATGTGGCGGATATTTTTATCAGAAATTTAGTTCAAATCGATGAACCGCTTTGAGATTATCCTCGAGAAAAGATAAATGCAAAATGCATGGCCAGATAGCTCAATATTAATTGAAGATACCTGCACACTGAAGACCGAGACATTGCGTTCACTAATGAAAACAACTCCAATGTTCATCATCAAACGTATATTATTTAGCCACAGCTGTAACATCATCGTAACTACAGAGTCGAGAGGAACGTGTCTGCGCCGCCCAGAAAGCGTCCAGAATCGTTACGAAGGGAGCGCATTTCGCCGACATCTCCACTCACAGTAACGAGTGACCCGCGGGCAGGCAGGAGACCAGCGTTTGGAGGTATTCTGGTCGCACGCCAGCCTCGGGGTTGTGTGTATCTTGTCGCCGGCCGAGCGGAGGTCCGACACCGCGGTTTTTGACAAGGGCACGCCGCACTGTGACACCTCTGTCGGTATTTTTCGTAGTGTACCGAGATGGCTGCCGTGACCTCTGACCTCTGTTTGACCTCTGACCGCGGCCTCTGACCTCTTACCGCGGCCTCTGACCCCTGGCTGCGGCGCTGACCCCTCAATGGCTGTCAGAGGCTGATTGTTGCCCTGGTAAGGCTGCTTTGTCTCCGGCGAAGACGGACTGATTTCAGCGTCACTCGGCTGGCAGTCGCGGAGACTCCAAACCTCTGAAAAGGATTGAGTTATTAGAGTTATTATCGGACACGCACGTCACACAACCTGCCTGTGAAGAACACAGATTAAGGTTTCCGATGTTGATGATTTTAAGGTAAATAAATAAACAACTTACAAAAAGAGGCCGTTACGTTATGTACGCAAAATCCCTTCTATGGTCGGCGTGCGCTAAAAACAAACAATAGCCGTTACGAACTGTAATGCATTACAGCTCACTCGCTATAATCTAGATTCTAAATATCTTTTGTAGATTTACATAGGCAATTTACCTACATCCTATACTGTTTTAATGAGGTTTTCACTTTTAACTTACAGACGACATCTGTAGACTCGGTCTGCTTCTACCAGAGAGCAGCGGAAGTTGAACTGGTCTGTATCAGTCAGCTCGGCCTCAGTCAGATCCACCGGGCCCGACTCGGCCACTTCTGACGGCAATGATGCGCCGGGAGAGGTCAGTACGGGTCACCGAGGTCAACACGGGGTCACAGAGGTCAGTGTGGTGTTACATAGGTCAGTGAGTTCCCAGGGTACTGGATAGGCCAGCGAGGGGTCGCAAAAGTAAGCGACTCGGCACCGATAAGCGTGTTTTGCGGCTTGCGCAGGACGGCATTTGAATCCGACGAAATATGGAAACAGAGGAATAGTTATTTGCTTTTAATTTATGTAACGTCTCTCCCATAAAAAGCCTTCCCATTTCGCTCATCTCGATGGAACCGGTCACTTAGCGTTTTCTATTTGTTACAAGCAGTATTTTTTTAGGAATGTACAAAACATTTTCATTCAGCTAATATTTCCATCCATTAACGTCTAATGTAACGTTTCACTTCTGTGCGATGTTTTTGACTTTTGAGTGACTCAATTTGACCAAATTTCTGATAGAGGTGACGCCGTTTGGTGCAATAAAATCTGAGGTAAACAGAGACCTCCGGTGGTCACGCTGGGAGCGACGCGATCAGTTTGCACTACAGCCGGGTTCCGGCGAGTGACACGACTCAATAGGCGGCGCCGGAGGCCACGAGCGGGGGCGGGGCGGGGGGGGGGGGGGCGGGGTGGATCCACGTCACTGTCCGTCGCCGTCACCGCCTCGCTCCCATGTCTGCAGCGATTGCAAGGGTATTAGACGGCAATGTTTTACTGACGAGAAACCATAGCTAGCCTTTTTTAGTTTTATGCGCCAGCTTGTCTCTTACCTCCATAGTCTGCAGGAACTTCAGACCGTTTTCCGAAGCGCGGCCCAAGGTAGAAACGATCTGCCTTCGGTTGTACCCGGATTGCACCTGCAAATTGTGGACACGTTTAAGAATATATGATATTAGTTATTACTTACTCTATCACGATCATTGTAGAAAGAGACCATCGACATTGGTCGCGATCGAACTAACACCATGTTGAAGGGATGCGGGCTTAGTTCATTTCTGAAATGTTTTTGCAGAAATAGTATCCACGCACAGCGGTTTCATTCAGCTGTTTTTGCTCCTTTGTTATTCTGGCCTGATTCAGACCAGGATAATGCTGTTGCCGACTTTTCATTGGAATAACTATTCACCCATGATGTGCGCTTGTTTTAATATATATCAAGCACAACTGCAAGCTAAGTTTTGATGCCCACAATTGAGAATTGTTGACAAAAATTGATGAAATGAAGGACTGCATGGTCACTGACCTCGTGAGTTGGCCCGTTTGATGTTGTCACTCACCTCGTGAGTTGACCCGTTTGATGTTGTCACTGACCTCGTGAGTTGACCCGTTTGTCAATGTGACTCACCTCGTGAGTTGGCCCGTTTGTCAATGTGACTCACCTCGTGAGTTGGCCCGTTTGTCAATGTGACTCACCTCGTGAGTTGGCCCGTTTGGCGGCGTCCAGCTGCGCCCGCTGGCTGCTCGAGTAGCGGGACGGGTAGGCGGCGCTGGGCCCGACCAGCAGCAGGACCAGCAGCAGCAGGACGGCCAGCGCCGTCCGCCAGCCCACATCCCGGCCACAGAGACTGCCAGCCGACATACCGCCTGCGGGCAAACGTGGCGGGAGCGCGGTCAGCGGACGTTTGGAGACCTGAGGCCATTTTACCAACAGATAAATCGCCGGCTACCGGAATTTTGCCTAAAGACGTCTCCGAAGTTCGCCATCCTGGCGAAAAAGGTCCACTGATGTTAAATGGGTAATATTAATATCAGCTAGCTTAATTTATATGTTTTGACATTGGCGTTTTTTTTCGCTTGATTAGTTGACACTGAGGGTGACTTCTGGAAACAAAAATACCGGCAGTTGGCCATTTTCTGGTGGTAAAAATGGCCTCTGCACTACCAACCGACAGTACAAAGGACGCACCACAAGAATAATACTGGATACAGGACAAATGATTTTACTCAATAATCAACAGCCCAAATAGTCGACGTGAGGATCGAAAATCGCACCGCCGTCAGTCATCAATTAACTAGGACTTTCCCGATAAGTGCAGGCAGTGTGACATAGTGACCAGTTATAGATGCCATCAGGTAGAGGTGATTTCAACTTCACCTTTCATCTTTTTCTTCAACTTTTCGACTGCTCCTTTTTCAATAGACTTGATATTCTGTCTCAACGACTTTTATCATCCGCTTGATAATTAGAGACGATTGTCCCTCCACCTTTATTCTCTTTGTCATCAACCAATGAGGGACAGGCACACAAATGAGCGTTCCGAGTATCTCTGCATCAAAGGCAAGCAATCGGAAACAAGATGGATTGATTGCTCTTATCGGGTGCTCTCATGATTGCTTTGACCATATAGCTAGGAAAGCCGCGAATGTGAATTCGTTCATTCCCTTATGTATTGCAGAGTGTCGACCAGCGGTGGGGTTTCTTTCGAAAATAAAAATTTAGTCGCACGCTGTTTTTTACAGCTAAAGTTTTTCAGCACCTAACCAATAAACATTCTTCTTCTTGGAGATCGAAAAAGATGTTTTTTTTTACTCTGGGCAAAGTTATACTAATGTTAGCTCGCATTTACTCCACATTTAAATCTAAATTAAAGGCTCACTCTGGCCCACAGACCAATGAGGTCATGCTTGCACAGAACAGTGGCATCTGGCGCAATGGATCTCCATTACGTCAACGCTGATCGTCAAATAATGCACTGGTGTAACTGGCGCCGGAAGTCGGCATTGGGCTCCAAATATCCAGCCAGTATATGCGTTTTATGGAAATTACCCTTTTAGCACAAACTGCATTTTCCGTACGAGCTATGTAGGTACCTATATGCGTATTTCCAGCTATACCACCATCTGTTAGGGGGTTCTGCATGCTGTCCAAATGTAAGCAAGGGCACACTCTGCTAGCCATAGTAAAGAAATTGAAGATCTTAACCCGGCAGTTGCTGGGGTATTTCGCCACCCACCGTTTGCTGGGGGGGGGGGGGGCGTTAAACGCCCCCAGCCGATAACTCGAGAACCAATAGGCGCAGCGAAACGCACGAGGCGGCAAACGAAAGAACGTGACGAGACGCTTCAGATGAAAACTTTAAAGTTGAATTTTGAGGTCACAGGTCGGGTCAAGGTCAGGTCAAACACCTGAAATCGGGCTTTCAGTAGCATGGACATCAGGACTTCGCAATGGGCGCCTCTCGTCATAAACTCTGTCAAAACGGTGCACAATCCATCATATAAGGCCTACAAGAGTGTCAGCTCCATGTAGGGGTCAGTCAAGCATAGGTCAGGGTCAAGGTCAGGTCAACCGGGTAGGCACATATCCCCGAAAATCAAAACTGATATTCGCAGCCCGTGACACATGTTTTATGGGTAATTTGGGGCGTAGAACACGATGGTGACATTCATTTTATCATATGTGTATGTTTTTGGCTCAAAAAGTTCAATTTAAGAAATGCATGTATCATGGTCGTGAAGAAGTCACGAGAAATTGCCAAGATTCAGTTCAAGATTTTGGAAAATGCGGAACGATAATCAATAATCGAAGATAGCCATTTGATTGTTCATGGTATTGGCAGTCTAATGGCGTTTACTGCATGTCTGTATGTCTGTTCTGTGATTTTATATGATTTTTTGAACATATGCCGTTTTTGGTCGAAAACTCAAAAATCATGACGTCACTAAAACCTAGATATCTCAATTTTTTTTGGACCGATTTTTTTTTTTGAAACTTTGTCACAATAAACTTCAAACAATTCCCTACAGGTACCCAAAAGTTGGCGCGCCTGCGGCGCGCCGTTTTTATGCTATGGCCCGGCGAAAAAAGTGGGGGCGTTTAACGCCCCCCCCCCCCCCAGCAACTCGCGGGTTAAAGCGTTAGGCAATAGTTCCATGTCATAGGCTCTTGGAAAGCCAGCGTCGCTTCTTGTCGGATGTCGAATAAATTCAAATAGAACTCAGATTTATGTCATGTCGAAATATCGTTTCATTGCATTCACAGCACCGACCAAGCCTCTGCGTTAGGGGGTCATGAATGAGCCCCTCCTTGGTCAATCCCACCTCAATGCACCGCACGCACACAAGCGCCCTACGCATACTGCATGTCGCCGTCGCTAAAGGCCGTCAACTCTGCTGAACGGGTGACGACACCGGGCGGCGACCGACACTTACAATGACAAAGGTCAAAGGTCACGTCTTTGCTCGTCATCCGGCCTGGATCCGCCAAGCGCCAAGGGCGGTGCTTCCTACCACTGCCACAGAATGGTCAGGGAAAAGACGCAACAGGGGGCGAGTCGGGATGAGGGTGGGGGTGGGGGCAAAGAGCTGCGAGGCCGCTCCTGACCGGTATCCTACCGTGCTGAAGTTAATACGAGAGAGACCATTCTGTAGGCGAAATTGGCGAATTTCAGCCAGCCTTTCCTGCCTCCGCCGGGTTTTAGAATATGTAAAGTTGGTGGCTAGTTCACCGATCTCTCCGCAATGTGATCGGCAATGAGATATTCTAGCATTCCCTCAGGAAGTGTCAACGTTCGACCTTACTCGTCGGTGCCCCAAAGGAGATCGAGACAGTGTTACATGTCTAATGAGTTCCGCTGGACCAGGACTCTCTCATTGTGAATTCTGCTCTTTTACATAACTTATTAAATTTGTAATACATTTTACCATGAAATACATGTTATGGCTAAAATTTATGAGTTGAGAGTAAGTGCATGGTTGAGCTGAGGATAATAATGCACGCAATTTGCATAAAATCATTTTAAATACCAATTACCAAGAACCTCAACGATCATTTGAGCCGTGTGCTTTACTTTTTGTCTTGTTTGTGGCAATCATCCTCGTAGTTACCAAGTTTCTGGCTTTCTTTGATAAGTGCATCTCCTCCAGCAGATATAGTAACTAGGGCCCAGTTTCACGTCAGGTGCTACCGGCTACAAGCGCTGTTAGCGCTTTCGGTTTCAATGGAAGCACAAACAAACTTTATTTGTGGTAAACAAACTTTATCAGGGTTTGCTGATATTTCCCTGGAAACCGAAAGCGCCAATAGTGCTAGTAAACACCAGTAACGTGCTGTGAGACAGGGCCCAGGTAACATTGACGTTCGCTGTTTCCCAGCATTGCAGTCCCTGCCTCCCAAGACTACAGAGCGTTACCTGCGGCATTGACTGTTGCAGAGAGCACCGAGTTGGATCAAAAGGTGGCCGACCTTCACCGTCTACTACGACATTTAAATGTATAAAAAGAAGCCTCGATGATGGAAACTAAAGGAAGGCACTCATGCGTTATTTTTTTTAAGGACAGAACTACCACATAATAATTTGGGTCGAACGAGAGAACTTAGGGTAGAGCATCAAACTATATTATAGTCAGATGTCACATGTCGACGGGACATTCGATCGGTTAGATTGGAAAAGGATAAGCATTTGTCCTTTCGACCAAGGACAACCTGGGTAAGACGATCAGGAGCGTCCACGTATTGGCCCACGCGATCACAGAGCCTTCCGAGACGTTTACCTTCGACAACCGTAGCAAACTTCAAGTTGCGATGCCCCTTGCAACAAAACTAAAGCTGGATCTAACGAAAAGTAAGCAGCTGAAAAAATAGCCATGAGAGTGGAAAAATGAATACAAAACTAAACATAGCCGAAATGCAAGGTTAATCGTAAGTTTTATTGTACTTGGTGGAGACTTCCATTTCGCGTCTAGCTAGACGCGTCTAAGTCTTAGACGCCAACTTGGACGTCTGCTCTGTTAGACGCCAGTTGGACGCCAGTGGAAGTCTCCACCCGTTGTGTTTTGTTTTGTTCGTTTTTAATAAGTAATTGTAGGCATGTACACTTGTCACATTCCACTTATCACAGGCAATGGGTTTCCTGGAGTGGTAGGCTGTGCCGCATCACACGGACTAAGTTCACAAATAAATATTGTGACCCAAAGCTCACCATAGACGCGCTTTATTGCGTGATAAACGGCAAATTTTTGCGTTCCAGTCAATTAATAGCTTCTGAGGAGTGGAACATAATTCTGTAGTCAACTGGAAATACAATTCTGCGTGATTACGCAGAATCACCGCAATCTGTCGAACTTGATTGGTTTGAGCATTTGCGCTGTATGCCACGCATGGATTAAAGAAAAGATTCAGTTTATGCCTGTAGTAAATTTGATTAGATTTAGCGGAATCTTTCATCTACCATTTGCACCTATCTTGGCAAATCTTAAATCAATCGATCATTTAACCGAATTATTGCGCCAAATGTCGCGTAACGGTCGGCAAAAATGGGTGGATTTTTTCAAAGTGATTCTGCCTCTTCTTAACGTAAGGTGCTGCATTCCAAAGAAGATAATCAGTGTTTGTTAATAGGCTCCTAGAAGTCAGGTAAGAATAATTGAGGTCAAAGCCGCGTAAAACAAAATAATGAAGCCAGCGTCAAAATCGGGGTTAATGAATGCATAGGCATGTTTGATTGGCCATTCGTCAAAATAATCCAAGGTTATCCGAGGTTAACGGATGTCACCAGATTGAGCTAACTTTTTTACGCCAGAGATCGGTGTCTGAGCAATATCGACTGCGTTTGCTTGTTTTGACAGTATTTATGCAGTACGAT